AGCTGGGAACTGGCAGAGCCAAGAAGAGAACCTAGGCAGGATGACTCTGAAGCCCATGGTCTTAACCATTATACTGTATTTCCTCATGTGTAAAGGTTGAAGAGACAAAAATGAATAAGACTTAGGCAAAGAGATCAGAGTCTAGGTGGTGGAAAACATCAAGCAACATAACAGATATGAAAAAGACACTTGTGAAGAAATATAAACTGTAAAATAGTGACTAGTTTTGCCAGGCGAAATCAGAGAAGATAACTTCTGGGCTGATTCCTAAGGAGATGAAAGTGTGGAGAAGGTTGATTCTCTCTTTAGAAAGAGAATCAACAGGTCCTGGTGATGTAAGGCATAAGAGAGAGGTGGGAATCCAGGATGGCTCTGTGGAGGAGCAAATCTGAGGAGGTAGATTTGGAGATTCGTTTTAGACAGTTTAACTTTGAGAAGTAGGCGCCAAAAAAGGTCTATATTTGAAGATAAGAGTCACAACTGTTTTATAGATTTTGAAATTTCTAACACAGAAATTTCATGGGAGTGCATGGTTTCCTAGGAAGAATATGTGGAGACAAAGAAGTTGAATTTTTCTCACTCTTCTGGGCAGGTACCCACTATGATCAGCCGGATAGCTGAGATAAAATAGCACAGAATTGAGAAAGGACAAAGCAGCCCCTGACATCTGGGAACTGGTAGCCTTGTGCTTTCTATCAGCTGGGCTGCGGTGTTGTTAGGAGCTGGCCTGGTTCTGTCAGCTATGTCTTGATTTCTCGCGTTGAACATCAAGGATTCATAGAACATCAACATCAGACAAGGGCGCTCTGTGATCATGACAGACAAGACAAAGACCAGTCTGTAATCACCTCTGAACACAGACAAAACATGAACATTTCCAAACCACAAAATGATCAAACATCCCTCATCCTGGCTAATGTAAGTGACTGCTGCTTCTTCAGCAATGACAGCATTAGCCTCGCTCTGGTCTGCCCTCCTGGTTCTGGAAAACTTACAGGAGCTAGGAGTGGATGCGGCACCTTGAAGCCCAGGTGTGATGATTGGAGCAAGTGTCCAAGGAACGCCCTCCCCTCCAGCACCTCCCAGCCAAACCCCATTGCAAGACCCTCAACCTGGGGAGCCCTCTTGATAAATAAAAACTTAAAATACCCAGTCACAGAATTGTCCCCACTTGCTGACAGAACCCAATGCACAGCAAACCCCTGCTTACTTGGAACCACTCCACACAGAGCCAAAGTCTAAATCTTATAGTAAGTCCTTTCTAACAACCTCTTACTGAGATAGTTCTCTGCAGAGGGCTCAGGTCTGACTGAAAATGTGAGAAGCCTCTAGGACCCCTTAAGGTCCTGGAGAGTGGAGGACCAATGTTAGAACCCTCCCCAGGCCCATGAGTTGCTCCATGGCTATAGGAGACTCGGGACTTCTCAACCTGGCTGTCCCCACCCCACACACAAAGGCCCCAGCCCACTTCCAGAGAAGGTCTGGCAGGGAAAGCCACTGAGTCACCCACGAGTGCAGTGAGGCAGCTGGGAAGGATAGGTGCCTCAGGGATGCAGGGCGGGACCCGGTGGCTCTGGGGGAAGATGGGGCTCTGGAAACCTCATACAAGCTAGGAGCGGATGCAGCACCTTGAAGCCCAGGTGTAATGTTTGGAACAAGTGTCCAAGGAACTCCCTCCCCTCCAGCACCTCCCAGCCAAACCCCATTTCAAGATCCTCAACCTGGTGAGAAATTAAAGTTAGTGAACACTGTACACTGCTTTTATTGACTTGATTTAATATAGCCAACATGCACTTATGAGTCAAATACCCTATTTGTTGAAAAGGCGTCTACTTGCATGATTACTTCACTGTGAAAGTAAAGTGAGAATAGTGGAAAATCTTACTGTGAATGTGACATAACTTCTCAAAAATTTTTGTTCAAATTAATAATAAAAACATTGATCTTTAGTCGCTACTGATTGCAAACACTCAAACTCTAAACATAATTTTAAAAAAGCAATGCATCACTAGTAGATTTAGATCCATATAGAGTTATAATTTTTTTATAATACAGGTGAAATAAAATTAGTTACAATGAGCATGTGTTGTTTAAATTGTCAGTCATTGGTTTCCTTCATATTTTTACTACTCAACATATTTTTGTTTCTATCCTTAGAAACAATGATAGGGAATATTTACATAAGAATTCTGGTAGACTATGAAAAGTAGAAAAATACCTTATTTTTCATTGTTTCTTGACATGACATAATGTGATCACATGTGACTGATGCAACCTGACAAAACCAGTCACAATATGAAATGTCACAGGAAACAAGGGAAAACTACTATCTTTATCCAGACTGAAAAGAAAAAAAAAATACTTATCATGAAATATAAAAACAAAGGCTTTGGAATATGAGCAAATAATATGCCAGCATGGAGTCTGTTCAAATATCTTATATTTAGCCCTTTTGAGATATATTCTATTATGGATATTAGGCCAGTGTCATGGATTTTAGAAATTATTTTTTCCACTGGAAAGTATTAGAAATATCACAGCCTGAGGTCCTTTTCTGTTTTTAAGCCTGTTTAAATACAACTGGAACCCATGCTTTCTAAAGGACCTCTATTCTGTGGTTTCATAACTCAAAGTTTGTGCTTTCTCATAGGCTCTAAGGTAATTCTAAATGGACTACACTTCAGCTGAGCTGTTTTTCTGAGACTGTACCCTGCCTCTGAACTGTGCTAAAATAACCTTGCATTATCCTAATTAGGATTATTCACAATACACACATATTGCAAAGAGCCATTTTCATTTTCAATTAGTTGAAAAGGATTAGTTGCAGTGATACTCCTATGGTCCTGAATGCAATTATTATTAAATCCAATATTTTTTATTGCTGTTAAAATTATGCTCCTTACAGATATAACTTAGCTAATGGAGTAAAAAGATGGTCTCTTCCTGACAAATCATTCTCTTCTAAAGAAAACTATAAAGGTAACAATACGTAAATGGAAGAAAATATATGTGTGGTAAAGAGGCTGTTTAATCACAAGTAATGGCAAACCTAAAATTAGTTCCAATTAGAAGAGAAATGCATGAAAACCAATCTGAACGTAGCAGATAAAGGGTGGCATGAAACAAAGCGAGAGAGTGGCATGGACATATATACACTACCAAACGTAAAATAGATAGCTAGTGGGAAGCAGCCGCATAGCACAGGGAGATCAGCTTGGTGCTTTGTGACCACCTAAAGGGGTGGGATAGGGAGAGTGGGAGGGAGGGAGACGCAAGAGGGAAGAGATATGGGAACATATGTATATGTATAACTGATTCACTTTGTTATAAAGCAGAAACTAACACACCATTGTAAAGCAATTATACTCCAATAAAGATGTAAAA